CTAATATGCAAATTGTCCCCTCGGCGGTCGTTCAACCAGGAGTTTGACCGCTTGCTATGACATGCGCTGACCACCAGGAGGCAGTGCGGAACATGGCAGGCGTTGGCAATGCAGCGCTGGCAGCAGGCGGCAGTGGAGGTGTTGCTGGCCCCAATGGGCCCCGACGAGAGCAGGACCACAGCGGGATGGTGGAGCAGGTGAGTGGGCGGCTCCAGGCCAAGGCAGGATGCCAGGCGGGGCTACAGGACTGTGAGACTGGGGGCACGAGCTGGGGCTGCAAGGTTGGGGGCGCAAGCTGGGCCCGATCTCCGCAGGCCACCCCAAGGGACCCAACCCATGCAAGAATTCGTGCACCAGGCCTCTAGTAGTATATAGTTAACAAACTTGGAAGGCTGATTATCAAAGTAGGAAATTAAACATATTCATGTCTTAAAACTCAAAATCAATGTAAAAGCTCTAGGTAAGCAAGAACACCTAATGCAGGCAACAGTGTGTTTTTAAAAATAAACCCCAGAAATGCAAGACCAACACTGCCGTTGGCCTCAGAAAGAGAGGAGACAGCATGAAGGTTAGATGCAAAACACTGCATACCCCATATTTCATTTCTTAACAATGCCATTCTCCCCTTTTACTTTCCAGGTTGTTACTTTTAATGCTAAGGAAGGAAATGCAAGCAGCTGATCTTAAAAACTACAGGCAAAAAAAGAAACCTGTCAGCAATATCAAGAGAAAATAGTAACCTTTTCCTGTATCTGCAGAAAAAGATGACATACATCAGCATCATAAAACTGTCCTTGAAAATGTTATTTCTGATCAAATAATCCCAAAGACATCCAGACTCAGAGACTGTTGTTCTATCTATGAAAGTAACCCCTAATACTTACAAAATCTTCTGACTGGTTGTCTCAATAATGCATTGCCCTAGTAATGGTACTTAAACTGATATCTGTTTTCTGAAAGAAATACCTGTGATTTTTATTTTTATGTTTCATATCCATGAGATCAAAATAAATAAAAGTCTCAATCTTACTGGCTGCCTTATTCTAAAAAAAGGAAAAAAACAATGAGAGTCTTGGTTCTTTTAAATTAATATAGGGGAAGAAAGAGTGACAGTGTCAGGTTATTTAAAAATAAAAATTATGAGAGGAACAATGGAATTTTCAAAATTTTAATTTTATTCCTCAAATTTTGTGCTTATATGTTGCTACACATGTGATTCCCAGAACATCTTCAAAGGCAATACTTACTGTAACTGCCAGATTTTTCTTCATAAGTAAAATGAAGTTGTAATTCCTCTTCTGACATCTCACAGATGAACACTTTCAGCAAATAGCAAATAATAAACAAAGCATTGTTTGTCTGCCAAATGAAGATGTGACTAGAAAAGAAAGAACAAGGTCACATAAGAATCAATATTTAATCATGAGCACAATCAGTTTATTTCTAGTCAATGATTTCTTCATGATTGATCAATCGTTTTTCCCACTGTATTTGTAATATTAGAATCATGTCCATATCTTTTAATGGCTCATGATTTATGACACTGAAGCAGTGAAATCTATTACAGTTTACTTCACAGTTCATTCTATGTATTTTACATAGTAAGTGAACATAATGAAAATATTATCCTTTAGGCATGACTGCTCTTTTTTTTAAAATATATTTTTATTGATTTCAGAGAGGAAGGGAGAGGGAAAGAGAGACAGAAACATCAATGATGAGAGAGAATCATTGATTGGCTGCCTCCTGCACACCCCAAACTGGGGACCGAGCCCGCAACCCAGGCATGTGCCCTTGACCAGAATCGAACCTGGGACCCTTCAGTCCACAGTCTGAAGCTCTATCCACTGAGTCAAACCAGCTAGGGCATGACTGCTCTTTGTTCTTAACTTTATAGCTGTCCCACACACAGGCAATTCAAAGAAAAGAAAGCTAAAATAATTAAAAATACATAGTACCATAAGGAAAATATATGCAAATACACAACCAAATTTTTAAATGGAATATCACCAGTAATCACAGTACAATATTTGCTGTTTGTATTAATAACCATGAACTCACAAGAAAAACTTTTGTTGGATTCAATATAATTTGCTTGGGAGCTGGGCAATGAACAATCTTTTAAGAGCTAACCAGATGCCCTGGCCTGTTTGCCTCAGTGGATAGAGCATTGGCCTACGAACTGAAGCGTCCTGGGTTCAATTCCAGTCAAGGGCACGTGTCCTGGTTGTGGGCTCGATCCCCAGTGGGGGACTTGCAGGCGGCAGCCGATCAATGATTCTCTCTCATCATTGATGTTTCTATCTCTCTCTCCCTCTTCCTTCCTTTGTGAAATCAATTTAAATATATATATATATATATATATATACTAGAGGCCCGGTGCACAAAAATTTGTGCACTCGGGGGGGAAGAGGGGGTCCCTCAGCCCGGCCTGTGCCCTCTTGCAGTCTGGGACCCCTCGGGAGATAACGACCTGCTGGCTTAGGCCTGCTCCTGAGTGGCAGAGGGCAGGCCCAATCCCTAGGTGCAGCCCCTGGTCGGGCTCAGAGCAGGGCTGATTGGGGAGTTGGGGCGCCGCCCCCTGTCATGCACAGAGCAGGGCAGATTGGGAGGTTGCGATGCCACCCTCAGTCACGCTCAGGGTGGGGCCGATTGGGGGGTTGGGGCACCGCCCCCTGTCACACTCAAGGCAGGGTCGATGGGGAGGTTGCGGCACAACCCCCTGTCATGCACAGAGCAGGGCCGATCAGGGGGTTGGGGCGATGCCCCCTGTCATGCACAGAGCAGGGCCCATCGGGGGGGTTGGGGCGCCTTCCCCTGTCACGCACAGAGCAGGGTCGATCAGGGGGTTGGGGAGCTCCCCCCTGTCACGCACAGAGCAGGGCTGATCAGGGGGTTGGGGCGCCTTCCCCTGTCACAAACAGAGCAGGGCAGATAGGGAGGTTGTGGCCCTGCCCCCTGTCACACACAGAGCCGCAGGGCGATCAGGGGGTTTGGGCACTGCCCTCTGTCATGCTGATACCGGTGCCGGGAGGCCTCGCGGCTCCGCTGATCCCGGTGCTGGGAGGCATATTACCCTTTTACTCTATAGGATAGGGGCCTAGTGCATGGGTAGGGGCTGGCTAGTTTGCCCTGAAGGGTGTCCTGGATCAGGGTGGGGGTCCCGCTGGGGTGCCTGGCCAGTCTGGGTGAGGGGCTGAGGGCTGCTTTCAGGCTGGCGGTTTTGACTGCTTTCAGGCTGGCGGGAAGCTCCCAACCGCTCCTTTTTTTCTTTTTTTTTTTTTTCTTCTGGGCCAGCTTTAGCTCTGGCTCTAGCTCTGAGGCTTCCGCTGCTGGTTTGTTTGCAGTTCTATAATTGAAACAATGTATAACTCCAGCTCTGAGATCCCAGCCGGCTATATTTGTTAGAATGTTTCAAACTGCCAGCTCAGAGTCCGGCAAGGCGGGGAACGTTGGAGTCTGCAGTCACGGTAGCAAGGAAGCCTCATGTTCGCTTCCAACTGCCTGGCTGCCGGCCGCCATCTTGGCTGACAGTTAATTTGCATAAGGATACGCTGATTAGCCAATCAGAAGGGTAGCGGTCGTACGCCAATTACCATTTTTCTCTTTTATTAGTGTAGATATATATATATATATATATAGAGAGAGAGAGAGAGAGAGCGCGAGCGAGAGTGCGTTAACCAGAAAAAAATGGTGTTAAAAAATGCTTGAGCAGCCCTGACTGGTTTGGCTCAGTGGATAGAGTGTCGGCCTGCAGACTGAGGGGTCCCGGGTTCAATTCCAGTCAAGGGCATGTACCTTGGTTGCGGGCACATCCCCAGTGGGAGGTGTGCCGGAGGCAGCTGATCGATGTTTCTCTCTCATCGATGTTTCTAACTCTCTATCCCTCTCCCTTCCTCTCTAAAAAATCAATAAAATATTTTTTTAAAAAATGCTTGAGCACATAAAAGGTTAACTTTCCATTGTATCTAATATAGAACTATAATACCTAATCTGAATCTTCTTTCATCTAATGAAAGAAATTAAGGAAACAGATGTGGAATGAAATAATACTCAAATTAAGTCATATGTCCAGCAGTAATAATGGGGAATAATGCCCTTTTTAGTAATAATCACATCACTATTAATCTATTTAAATAATATATTTCTAAAGATTATCTAAAATGCTGAAAGCAGATTCCAGAATGTATCATCTCCCCCGCCCCCCCAATGACTTGGACAGCAAATTAAAATCTCTCTTGTACTTTTTTCTCTTAATAGTAAGTACAATTCCTTTAATAGCTCTTAAAAGACCATAATCAATTTCTAATAGATGAAAAATACTCCTTGTTAAATATGAAAAGAACATAACTAATCAGCCAGCTTACTTCCGACATTCTGCTGAAAGTTTTAGTTCTTTGGTTCTAGAAAGGAAGACCTTAATCAATGCACCAAGGTTTCCTGTTCGAGGATTGTTTTCAACTGCAAGAGAAAGAAAGATTTTAAAAAGTTAAAATTAAGAACTAAAAGCAAAGTGAGTGTATCATAACACTTATAAAATCAAATGTCAAACTGAAGTTGCTCATGGACCAACCTATTGTCAATAAGCAATGAAAGAAATTGCTGCTTGGTTGTAATTCTTTCTGAACAAAAAGTGATGTACAAAATGGAAGTGCTAGAAACAGCAGGAGAAAATAGCCATCTTATCTGAGCATCCAAAATTGTAAAGAAAACATGCAAGTTAATATGCATACACAATTTACATATACACATAATCCTCTTTAGAAAAACAGATGCCTGCCCTAGCCGGTTTGGCTCAGTGGATAGAGCGTCGGCCTGCGGACTGAAGGGCCCCAGGTTCGATTCCGGTCAAGGGCATGTACCTTGGTTGTGGGCACATCCCCAATGGAAGGTGTGCAGAAGGCAGCTGATCGATGTTTCTCTCTCATCGATGTTTCTAACTCTCTATCCCTCTTCCTTCCTCTCTGTAAAAATCAATAAATATATATATCTATACATATATATATATGAAAAACCCTAAAAAAGAAAAACAGATGCCTAAAAAGCTCAAAAACTGATCATCCATATCCCCAGTATATAGAATAAACCATAAAGATAAAACTATTCAGATAATCACAAATTATTCTTATGAAAACAAAGACACATAAAGAAAGACACATAGCCCTGACCAGTTTGGCTCAGTGGATAGAGCGTCGGCCTGCGGACTAAAGGGTCCCAGGTTCGATTCCGGTCAAGGGCATGTACCTTGGTTGCGGGCACATCCCCAGTGGGAGGTGTGCAGGAGGCAGCTCATCGATGTTTCTCTCCCATCGATGTTTCTAACTCTCTATCGCTCTCCCTTCCTCTCTGTAAAAAATCAATAAAATATATTTTAAAAAAAAAAAAAAAAGAAAGAAAGACACATAATGTGGCCAGTGGGGCGCTATCTTACCAAGCAAAATTTTAAAGAATTTATTAAAAGAATTTTTTTTTCAAGTTTAAAAGGCGAGTATTTCAGCAAAGCCAGCCTAGAGTTGAGAGAAGATTCTACTGGGAATGAGAAGATCTGGCTTCTAGATCCAAGTCTATAATAAGGGAATATTGAACCTCAGGCAAATTATTTACTTCTCCACCTGTTTTCTCATCTGGAAAAGAAATAACAGCTAATATATATTGAACGATACACTTAGTGCTTTACATGCATTACCTACTATAATCCTCAAAACTACATATGGCATAAGCACCAATATGACCTCCATTTTACTGAGCACCCCCTGCAGGTTCTTGCTTGCTCAAGGACACGTAGTTATCTACTGGCTCAAATCCTTGGCCCTACACTATGCCAAACCAGTCCCTGTAATCAAGGAATTAGACTTAATGAAACTCTGAAGTTCTATCAGGCTGCAGAGCAAGACATAGGCTATGATTAATTTGGTGTGACAACTTGACTGGGCCACCGGATACCCAGGTATCCAGTTAACATTATTCCCAGTGTGTCAGGGAGAGGGTCTCTGCATTTGAATTGGTAGACTGAGTAAAGCAGATTGCATCTCCATGGAGGGCCCACAGAGAAAAGTCAGAGGAAGGCTGAATTCTTTCTATCTGCCTGACTGTTGAGCTGAAACATTGATCATCTTCTGTGCTTAAATGGGACTCGCAACATTGGCTCTCCTAGTTCTCAGGCCTTTGGACTTGGACTGGAATTAATACCATTAACTTTCCTGGGTCCTCCAGCATGCACACCAGATCACGGGACTGCTCAGCCTTCATAGTCGTGTGAGCCAATTTCTTATAATAAATCTCATTTTATATATACCAGGTGTCTCAAAAAATCCTATATAATAAAAGGGTAATATACAAATCCACCAAATGGTGGAATGGCCAGTCGCTATGACACACACTGACCACCAGGGGGCAGACACCCAACGCAGGAGCTGCCCCCTGGTGGTCAGTGTGCTTCCACAGGGGGAGCACCGCTCCGCCACAAGCCAGGCTGACGGCTGGAGATCACAGCAGCGGTGGCGGAAGCCTCTCCCGCCTCCGCGGCAGCACTAAGGATGTCCAACTACAGCTTAAGCCTAAACTGTCAGTTGGACATCCCCCAAGGACTCCCAGGCTGCTAAAGGGCACAGGCCGGGCTAAGAGACCCTCCCCCCACCCCGAGTGCACGAATGTCATGCACCAGGCCTCTAGTGTATACATATTTCAGCTGACAGCTCAATTTTAAAATGAAATGTATTTTAATAAACGCTGCCTTTATCATTATTCAAAATGTGTGCATACATTTTGGGGGGACACTCTATATATATCCATCCACTCTATGGATTCTGTTTCTCAAAATTCATCTTAGCCCGGCTTTCGTGGCTCAGTGGTTGAGCGTCGACCTACGAACCAGGAGGCCACGGTTCAATTCCAAGTCAGGGCACATGCCTGGTTTGCAGGCTCGATATCCAGTGTGGGGCGTGCAGGAGGCAGCCAATCAATGATTCTCTCTCATCATTGATGTTTCTATCTATCTCTCCCTCTCCCTTCCTTTCTGAAACCAATAAAAATGGTTTTTTTTAAAGAATTCATCTTAAGGGAGAGACTATTTAGTCAGAACCTTTACTTTTACTGATGGAAGAAAAAGAAATCCAGAAAGGCTATATGTTGGGCCCAAAGTCAACAATATGTTAGTGACAAATGCCCAGTCTTTTCACTTTACCAATAGTTTTCAAACTGTGAGATTCCAGAGTTCTGGGGTATTTTTTTCACTTTTGAAATACATTTTTAACTATTTTGAAAACCAGAAATGCAAACACACACATTGGCTTGTGCTGCCAGGAGAATTCATTTTTATGCAGATCTGAGAATTATGCGTTTGCTGCCATTTCTATGCATAATATCTAAACTTCTGTGTCAAAGATATAAAAAGATGTAGTTCTCCAGAATTTTTTATCCAGGTCTGCACATACATACTTTTTAAAATGTATATGGAAATAAGCACAGCATTACAGCATACCTGCTCTGTACCCATAACTGGCAAGTTAACTCGGTCTACCTACCAGGTATATGTTCTTGCCACAGCCTGAGAGTCAATGCATGTAACTGTGTAACTTTCTAATTATGACAGAAGTTGCAGTACCTTGCTGTTCCACGTGTGGCTCATGGACTAGTGGCAACAGCATTGTCTGGGAGCTGTTGGAAGTGCAGAATCTCAGGTCCACCCTCCACCTACTAAAGTTGGCAGTGCTTTTCAAAGGTTAATGTACATTTAAATCACATTTAAAGTTTAAATTCTGACTCTGCCCATATCAAGTGTGACCTGAGATTCTGCATCGCTAACAACCTTCCTGCTCCTGGTTGGAGAACCCCCACTCCGTGTGCTGTAAATTAGGGCAGGTTTGGCCCAGGTTTCATAATCAAGAATAGGTGCATGATTAGATATTAGGCATTAGATATTGTTACAGTTTCTCTTTGAAACACAAATTTCCTATCTTCAATCGTTAGGTTTAGTTTAATGAAAGAATATCATAAGATTTCAGGATAAACTGTGTTTTGTTCTTTTTTTAAAAAAAAAGTTACTGTTTGCAAGTGCATCTTTGTGTAAATTAATATTATCTAGCTATTGTAAACCAAAACAAAATACTGAAACAAAAGTTGAAGCTGATATAATTCAGAATCCCAACTTTACAATCTTGTTTATTCAACAGCCCCTTTATTACTGAATTACTTTATAATTGTTTTAATTTATAAATAGCCAGCTATTAAAAAACAAACCTGTCTATTGGAAAGAACAACCAAACTACTAGACTGATGTAATGAAAACTCTGTGTACCTTTTTCAATCATTTGGCATGTATTTATTGAGCTCCTTATATGTACTCAGCACTGTTTCAGGTATAAGAAAATACTTATAAACAGAATTCCCTGTATTTTTTTATTTTATTGATTTCAGAGAGGAAGGAAGAGGGAGAGAGAGATAGAAACATCAATGATGAGAGAGAATCATTGATTGGTTGCCTCCTCATGCCCCACACTGGGGATCGAGCCTGCAACCCGGGCATGTGCCCTGACCAGGAATCAAACCATGACCTCCATGTGCCCTGACCCGGAATCAAACAGTGACTTCCTGGTTCCTAGGGCGACGCTCAACCACTGCGCCATGCTGGTTGGGCTCCTTGTCTTAATAAAGCTGACATTCTAAGACGGTTAAGTTTCCACAGTACTCTTCTGGGCAAGATCCAAACGGGGCAATAAATTAATAAAAGTAAGTACACTCAGTGATGTTTCAACAACAGGTGTAATATTCCAAAATACCTCAATGGACTTTAACAGGATCAAACCTAGTTGGTAAAAATCAAACGCTATGGTAAGTTGAATGAGCTTCAGGAACCAGGGTAGGAACAGGGACATCTGACAGGAAGGCAGAAAAGCATAATGGAACTAGACTACAGATCTGACCAGGTTCAAACCCCAGCTCCCCCTGATTAGCTGTGTGACACTGGCAACTTACTTAACCTCCCCACACCTGTTTCCTCACCTGTGAAACTAGGATCATAGTACTTAAGCACAATAACTCATCTGACTCTGGAGCTTAAACTTGTAGAAATATATTAACTAACTTGGCCTTTTGTATAAAGAAGGGAATTCTCCATCGCTACAGGAGTTCAACCAAAGTCTGGGTAACACTCACGTAAGGGTATAATAAAGAGGATTTCCACCTGGAGTGAGAGGTTGAACTTCCTTCCAGGCCCTGAGATAACCTTTCCCAATATCTCACTAAAATACCCATGAGCCACAAGACCTAATAACCAATATAGAGGAAACACAGAGGACAGAAACATATTAACGTTTCAACCAACAAAATCTACATGTGGGAAACTCTACGACCCACTTTCTTTTTTAAAATTACTTTTTATTTTTTTAACTGGAGGCCCAGTGCACGAAATTCATGCACTGGGGGGGGGGGGGGGCCTCAGCCTGGCCTGTGCCCTCTTGCAG